GGGCCATTCGTGCCATTTGTTGTGTCCATGGCATTGAGGCAGACGTGGCAAAAGTGTGGCACAGTGCAGATAGGCGTCCTGCTGTCTTTGTGCCTCAGTGGCATAAAATCTCTTGACAAGAATGAAAAGTCACTTAAACTGAGTTTCTTTTTTTTTTTCCAAAAGAGGATATGCAAATTCTCATCTTCCAATCTCACTTTCAAAAGAGGATCATTCAAAAGTGAAAGTAGTCTGAACAAGTTTTTTCCAGGGGGGAGGGGTAACTCCTTCTTCGAAAAAGCCACGTAAACCTCATTTTTAAGGAAGAGCACTTTTTTTGAGAGGGTTTTTTTTTTCTTCAAAAAAAAAAAAAAGCGTCCAGACTACTTTTAACTTTCGAAAATCTTCCTTCGAAAGTGAGATTGGAAGAAGATATGCAAATTCCCTGGGAATTTGCATATCTTCTTCCAATCTCACTTTTGAAGGAAGATTTTCCTGGGAATTTGCATATCCTCTTTCAAAAAACCCCCGTACTGTAGACATTAGATGGAGGTGTGTAACCTAGTGGATGCATTTCAGCTTTCTTGACTTGTGTAAATTCACCGTGTGCTTTCAGTGTGAAACTTCTTTGTGAACATTATCTCTGTGCAAAATATGGAATTTATGCTAACAGTTAGGAAACTACTTAAAGAAAATCGTCCAAAATGTCTGTTTAAGCAATTCAAGGCTATACAATTAGATGAGTAAAGAACTAGTGATGTGTAAGTAAAAAGATCTGTTTTAAATTTAAAAAAATTAACTTTTATTTTAAACATCTCTCTTAGTATTCTAAGAATGGGATCTGTCAGATTGAGTCTGCTTCACTTTTGAACTTTTTATTGCAGGAATTTGCAGAGGAACTCCATAAATGAGACTTTTTGCTTGGCCATAATAGGCAGAGGATGATATTTGAAGCTGCTAGGAATATGTGATCATTTGTGGCACAAACTTGTTGACTAGACCTTGCAGATCTGCTATGCCTTTCTCTGCTTTTTTTGCTTATCCGCCCTCATTGTCCATCTGTCTTCTCCATTCCGCATCTTCATTGTAGTCTCAAAACATCTCCATGAATGTTTCATCATGCCCCATATTGGTTGTTCTGTGAAGGAGATTTGTTGACAAAATGTTTAAAAAGCCAGATTTAATAAATAAAAGTTCTACAGGCAGGGACTATCTCTTGCTCCGTGTTAATATTATGGCTAGTGAAATTGGGCGCTAATTTTGGTTGGAACCTTTAGGTTCTGTTGTAATATACATACATGAAATATTTTGTCCTATCGGAGCAGTGCATTTAACAAGAAAAATGAGTAGGAATTATGACCTGTTGGTAACCAAGAAGAGAGAATGTTCTTGTGCCAATGGTTGCTTTTACATTTCCTGACTACAAAAAAAAAAAAACAACAAAAAAAAAACACCTCTTCAGATTTCGATTTGGCTTTATAATAACATTTCTGCTATTCTCAGAAGCTTTAATTAAAGAGACTTATGTAAAATTCATCATTATTCATAGCATGGCACAGATTCTGTTTTGTCATTTTGTGGGGATTGGAGGCAATTCTTTTTGTGGCATTATGGAGTCTGCTGAATAGATAGCTGGTTTCCCATAGCCTGAGTCTTGAAAAATTGTACTTTGACAGCCGTATGCTAGCCGCACAGATGCATCCAAACAGCTTTTGGATTTAAGCAGTTGATTTGGAATGATTTAACTAGCAAAATGGATTAATCTTAGACATAATCTCTTTATGCCTGTCTTTCCCAACACCTCCACCCCCTCCAAATGTCCTGTGTGCCTCATCCTTCAAAGAGGCAACTCAAGACTCTTTTCCTGTGCTGTCAGTTTATGTACAGACGGCATAAAAAGGGACTGGAGGTGGACTGAGGAAAGAGAGTTATGTGTTGTGGATCATTTCTTTTTTTAACAGCACAGATTTCAGAACGCTTCTGTAGTACTTTATGGTTACTGATATCCACTCAAGCCCTTCTTCATTAGATTTGTGTACTGTATTTATTTTGCTATCCTTTCGTTATTATTGTCCAGCTTTCCATAGCTTCTTTCCTTCAGTGTTTCCCCTTGATCATATAGCTGTATTTTTTGTCCTATGTCATGCTTTGCTGAGTTGAACTGTAATACATGCAGGGTAATGTCCTAATCTTTCTGAGAGCTAGATTCTCAGACCTTTGCATGTAGTCTGAATTAATTTGTCATGTGCAGTAAGGTGCTACAGAACATGCGTGAAGGGATTCTAATCTCACTTTATGTAGTTTGTAAAGTTGACAAAGTACTCCATACATAATCCTATCCCCAATCAGATAATGTCACATGCCAGTTTTGTTAGGTAATCCTCATTAAGGGCTTGATTCTGCACTCCATGAGCATCTACAAGAAACATAGATTTTGGTCCTATTAAGTATATATTCTTATGCCGGGATGAAAACTTGTTTAAAGTGACACTGTTCACACCTCTCTGAATCTTTCCCTCCCCTATTAATGACAGGTAAGGTTAAGATAACCGAATGAGTTTCAAGAAAATATATTTTTTTTAGTTTTTGTTTGTGCGTTTGCCAAGCAGTTTCATGATTTCCCTTTTAAAGGAAATACAATTTACCTATTTGGATGCATCTTTCACACAGCAGTTGGGATTGATTGATTAAAAAAAATTGTAAAACTATACTAAAACTAGGAAGGGAATTTAGGGCACATGGCTCACCATTATTTTGATGGCTGTAAATGGGTTGACAATAGCTGAACAATAGACTTACTGTCACTTTTGCTTCTTGTACCAATGATTGTTGTTTCACTAGTTTGTGTTCCCCTGTTGCTTCCTGTTATGTTCAGATTCTAAATTCTTTGGGATGGACACTCTCTCTTTATTATGTGTGTGTGTGTGCTGCCAAATGCAGTGGAGGCTCCAGTCCCTACACCAGGGCTACTCCAACATGCAGCCTGCAGGCCATATGCAGCCCGCGGCCTGTGGTGCGGTTTGGGTTTATGCAGGGCTCAACACGCGGCCGTCGGGTGGAAGCCAAAACAAAAAAGTATTCAATGATCTTCTGTTGAGATGCGTTATAGTAGTTACATTCCTGGACTGTCATTGTTCACTAAAAGTGCTCTCATGTGGGTGGAAATTGGGTAACTATTGCATTTTATTAATATCAGCAGAACTGACTTAAATGGGGCCTGCGTGTTGTGTAGCCTTGCCTTGATCTTTGTATTCATGCCTGTCAATGTGAAAAGCTATTGGCATATGTTTTGCATATATATTTGCATGTATATGCAACCACTCTTAAGTTGCGGCACTCGGCATGTGCTGTGAGTATCATTGTGTCCCCGGGTGCTTCCAGAGTTGAGTAGCCCTGCCCTACGTGGTGCTTCTAGGCACCACTACAGTATAAATGACTGATAAACTATAGCGCTTGAAACTACTCAATTCACTTTTTTTTTTATTAAAGCTGACTAGGCTTCAAGTAGATGGTGTCACTTTTTTAATTAATTCAGGCAGCCTGCTTTGTTTCCATTGTGTATGGGACATTCAGTTCGGTATGCTGCTCTTGATCCATTCACACAAGAAGTGGAAGAAATTGGCTGTCAGTCAGCAAGCCGTGATGTATAAGGCTTATACTGCAGAGCCGGGGTGGGAGGTGGTAGCCGGGGAGTGGGCCGGCAGGACAGAAGAGTTTAACCTGTACTGGAACCGATACACTGATGCTTATCAGTTAACCAATTAAATTTTTACATCCCTAGTGTCAAGGGAGATAAGGTGACATGGCCGCTACAAGCCTGACTGAGGTCTACTCTGACTCCCTTGACCAGTTTGCCACTACTACCCTTCATGCTCTCATGTAAACACTGAGGTCTTCCCACAGGCTACAATCAGCTTGCCATCTGGCTCCCTTTCTGAGATGCATAGTGGGTAGGCCACTGGTTTTCTTCTCAAGAGCAATGGATTTTGGCATAATGTTGGATCATTTCCCTTAAGATAGTATTTGCTGCAGCAAATTTAATACCTTTCCAGTACAGACAGGATCCCTGGTGTTTAAAAGCTTTTAGTATCCATGCCCCAGTGGTCACGGCCCTTTCCGAGGAATTGGGGTATGGAGATTCCAGTCTCTCCTCTGCCACAGAATTTGTGTGACTTTGGGCAACTCTTTAACCTCTCTGTGCCTTGTTTTTCCATCTCTAAAATGGGAAGAATGCCACTGCCTTATGTTGTGGGGGTTTTGTGAGGATAAACACATTTTAAAGATTGTGAGGGGCTTGGATACTGCAGTAAAAGGGACCAGTATGAATATTTCAGACAAACATCCTGCTTTTGCATCTGTTTTTGGAATAAAAAGGTTGAGTACTATTGTATACTACAACTTACTTGATTAAATCGTGTTTTGGAAACCTTCAGCACATTTGATTTTAATTTGGCTCAATCAGAGCTGTATTTTTTGAAGGATATGTAGAATGTGGCCTTATTTATTGTTGCCTTGGAAATGGCTGAGCTTTAAAGCTTTACGTGAGCTGTAACAGTTTAGTCAAAATATACATCAGCTTTTTGGGATCATTTAAAATTTTAATATTTAAAAATTGTCTCACATATGGATTTTATAATTTAATTTGAATTGCTTCCAGAAGAAGAATGGTTATAAAAACAGCATGTCTGAATACTAGATAAAAATAGGAAGTATTTACATGGAAAAACAGAATTAACAAGATGCATACAGTCATTTAATATGTATAATTGAATATTATTGTGCAAATTCTTTCTCTTGCATATCTACTCAATGCAGAAAATGAAATCTAAATTACTTAGAAATATACAACTTAAAAATAGAGATTTGACACGTGGTCTTAAACTGTGTAAGTGACAGTCTATGGTTAGTATCTTCAGGGTGGTTTTTAGGACTGTTCTTTGTTAATGGCAAAGATAAGGTGAGCAGCATTGTAGCACATGCTTGCAAGTTTAATGTTCCTATTGTTTATCCTTTCTCTCTAGGATTCCACTGTTGTGACTCCAATTATTCTCAGAACAGATCCACATGGATTTTTCTTTTACTGGACAGATCAGAATAAGGTAAGAGAAGAAACGACTTCTTTGGTATTGATTTCAAGCTGACCAGCTGGTGCATGAAGGCTCTGGGCATGAAGCTTAGCACTCCAATTCTGTCATAGGGGATGGCCTAGGAGTACCCCATTTCAGAGTATGTGACCGGGGAGAAGAAGAATGACTGTCAATTCTGAGCTGCCTTCATGGCCCCTTGTGAATATTGGCAACTACTGGCATGATACGGAGATGTTCCAACTTACAGCTGGGGACCAATCTGGTGCGAGTTGTTGACTTCACCGAAGTCAATAGGATATTTTCCTTGGGGTTGGGTTGGTCCAGTGTTGAAGGAGTTTACGGTTATCTGTTTCAGTGGTTTTCAAACTTTTTTTTTCTCCTGACCCAGTTGAAGAAAATTGTTGATACCCAGGACCCAACATAATTTGACTAGCGTATTGCATCTGGAGTATTTCGTCCAGTTCTGGACCCCGCTTTCTCTCCCTCCTCCCCGCCCCACTACAGAAAGGATGTAGACTCACTTTCTCTCCCCCCTCCCCGCCCCACTACAGAAAGGATGTAGACTCATTGGAGAGGATCTGGCAGAGTGCAACCAAAATGATGAGGGGGCTGGAGCACATGATCTAAGAGGAGAGGCTGAGGGATTCGGGCTTATTTAGTCTACAGAAGAGAAGAGTGAGGGGGGATTTGCTAGCAGCCTTCAACTTCCTGAAGGGAGGTTCCAAAGAGGATGGAGAGAGGCTGTTCTCAGTAGTGATGGATGGCAGAACAATGGTCTCAAGTTACAATGGGGGAGGTCTAGGTTGGATATTAGGAAAAACTATTTCCCGAGGAGGGTGGGGAAGCAGTGGAATGGGTTTCCTGAGGAAGTGGTGGGATCTCCATCCCTAGAGGTTTGTAAGTCCTAGCTTGACAAAGCCCTGGCTGGGTTGATTTTAGTTGGGGTTGTTCCTGCTTTGGGCAGGAGGCTGAATTTGATGCCCTCCCAAAGTCTCTTGCAGCCCTAAGATTCTATGATAGAGTGTTGACTCTGGGGTGGGGCTGAAGATGGAGCTTTGGGCTGTAGGAAGGGGTTTGGGCTTTGGGGGTGTCAGGGCTGGAGCAGGAGGGGCTTACCTCGAGCAGCTCCTGGTCAGCGGTGCAGCGGTGGTGCTAAGGCAGCTTCCTGCCTCTTCTGGCACCCCAGACCATGCTGCGCCCCACAAGCAGCCGGCAAGGTTCCCAGCCAGTGGGAGTGCGGAGGTAGTGCTCGGGGTAGTGGCAGTGCACAGTGTGCCCTCTTTCCCCACATATCTAGGAACCGGGCCTGCTGCACGGTCTGCGGTGCCAGGACAGGCAGGTAGTGGCCTTAGCACCCCCACTGGTCACCTGATCCCCCTGTAGCAACAAGACCCATTGCCCGACATTCTACCACCCAGTACTGGGTCACCACTGGTGCGGAGGTAGTGCTCGGGGTAGTGGCAGTGCACAGTGTGCCCTCTTTCCCCACATATCTAGGAACCGGGCCTGCTGCACGGTCTGCGGTGCCAGGACAGGCAGGTAGTGGCCTTAGCACCCCCACTGGTCACCTGATCCCCCTGTAGCAACAAGACCCATTGCCCGACATTCTACCACCCAGTACTGGGTCACCACTGGTCTATTTAACCCCCTTTTTACTTTGTGCTCCTCTGCCATGACTGAGAATGTGGGTCTGCCTAAGTTTTTACTGATCCTTGTTGGACACTCAGTCTCTTTTTAAAAATAAATTCCTGTACGCTTCTTGGGAAGACCTAGAGCCTGCTGTACTGCTCCGGTTTTACACCAGTGTCACTCCCCTCAAGTCCGTGCTAGCCTGTTAGCAAGAGACGGAATCAATGGCATCGTACCAGAGTGAAAGTGCAGCAGTGCAGTGGCGAATCAGGCCTTGGATCTCTTGTCCATGTGCTGTCACAGCAATGCAGTGTAAAAACACAGTCCAAGTGTTAAGGAAAAATTAGTTTTTTCTTGTCCCTGAGGATGGATTGTAGTACTTTATAATAAAGCACACTTGTCTCGTATCTCTTGCCTGTTACAACTGGAAATATCAGAATAATTTCATTGCTAGTGTACTGCAGATTGGAGAGTTTATTCCATTATTTAAGAAGTTTGGCATAATGACATTCCCCTCCGTGTCCTACTGTTGTCTGTAAAAACAATGTCTTAAAGCAATTCTGTAAAATGGCTATTTATAGAATTGTTGCCATATTTATGGAAAAAAAGAAAGTATTTGTAATGCCCAGAGCATTTTTGAAAAGGTTGGGTATTTGTACAAGAGACATAAGTGTCAGTTTGATTTTGAAACTGGGAAATCAAATATCTATAAAGGGCAACAAAAGAGATTTTGTCTGGTGAATAATTCATGACAACTAAGTAAGGCTTGTTTTCCAAACCTAACGGTCTCCTTATTTAAAATATGAATGTTAAGGGGATGAGCACTTTCTGCTTGGGCAGTGACTGCTTTGATTTATGTTTATTGTGACGTTATTGAAGTTTTTTAAAAGAATAAGGCTAAAAGAGAGAAATGTTTACATTGCTTCTCTTGATCGTCCTTTGGTGTTGTAAATGCAATAATCTGGTGCTGATAAGTGGGGATATTTGCAGAAATAATGCCAAGCTTTGCATGCTCTTTGTGATTTTAGTTTTCCAAGTCACCTGCCTTTCTTATGGAATGGGCCTGTTATTTTCAGGACAGAGGAGGAGGAGAGCCCTGGCCAACCAGAATAACGGAGTGAACATTTATTGGTTTATTTCCTAAGGGATCTAATATTTTTTGGTTGTTGGTCCCTGGTGGCCAAGCTATTTTGCACTTAAGTATCCAAAGTATGCATGCCCTTATGAATCACAGCATGAAAACTACTCTGCTGGGACCTGATCTTGTAGAGTCTTTCTTTTGGGCTTGCTCCTTGGCTGCAAGTCATGCCCAAATAGGGAAGGTAACTGATGTGTGATAGATCACATGGATGCATAAACTGAACACACATTGCTTAAAGGACAATCTTAGCTTCTGCCCTTACAAAGGAGCCATTGGAAGCATGTGTGTTTAGTCTCAAAAATGGTGGTTCTAGGTTTGCCAGGTGGTACCTTTTAATCTTTTGAGCTAACCTGTTTTCTAAAATTTGGAAGGTGATTAGCCTTTTCTCGCCTTCTTCTTATTGCTTCCTGCTCTCTTGATTTACTATCTGATGACTATAGCACTGTGTAGTGGAGAGGGAAAAAAGTCTAGATGCATAGCTGCCAAAGGTTTACTTGAACCGTCCTTTGTGCTGTGCTTAATATGGCCATATTCATAACGCACATAAATCTGACAGCCCAAAATGCTCGTGAATGCGTATGCTGCTGTGGTCATTGGTGTATATACCCCCGGTGAAATTGTAGCCTTAGGGAAGTCATTGGGAATTGTACCGTTGGCATCAATATGATCAGGATTTCAACCTGGGTTATGATCGAACACCAGCTTCCAACTGCGAGTAGCAGAAAGTTACTCACTTTACACACTGTGTGTGTGCTGCATTTTGCTTTTTCATCACTCTTTTCCTTTGCAGCTTATTCTTGTGGGAGTAGCTCAGGTCATATCACCTTTTCTATACCAAACTCTCAAAAACAGTTTCTAAGTACTTGAGTAGAAGCACCCAACAGTAAGGAGAAAGGCAGTCTCCCATTGGAAGATTAAGTAAAATTGAAATTCTGGGTAAGTATTTGTCAAGATATTTCAATGTGAATCTTTACATTTTATTATTGGAAATCCAAAGAAGGAACAGAAACTTTGCTTACACACCTACAACCATTGAGAGACCTTCTAAGAGAAATTTTTCATAGCAGATGGTGAACCATCATTGGTTAATCTGCTGTCTTCAAGGAAAAGAAAGAGGTTTACTAGTTATAAGCTCAATAGCAATTTGGACTTCCCTAAAACCATTCTCTTCCTCTTGTGTACTGGAATAAGCAAACACATTTCTTGGTTTCATTCCAGGCAATTAATGCTAATTAAAACGTGTATGTGCAGCCTGCCTTACAGTTTGGCTAGGTTTGTCAAAACCTCTGGCTAAATCTAGAGAAACCTCTGTCTCACATCTCTTCACCGTTTAACCTTTTAAAAAAAACATCTAAATCTAGAAAAGTTGTACACATCTCTTCACCGTTTAACCTTTTAAAAAAAACAAAGATTGTGTGTGTGTGTGTGTGTGTGTGTGTGTGTGTGTGTGTGTACACGCGCCCACCCATTAAAAGGTCGAAGGAAAGAGTAGATACAACAAAGGGAAAATTCTGTGCCCATGACCTCGGCGGCGTTTTCTTGGAGATATTGCACTGCTGGTGCAAATATAAATTTCATTTATGCCTGTGGCACTTCAATTTACTGTGGTATCTGAGGTATTTCCTGTTCTTTGTGTACAAGATAGAGCAAATATCTTCCTAAAATCAGATTCTGAGGTACAGATTGATTTTCATCTTTAATGGTGTTTGACTGATATCCTGTTTGTAAAGAGGCACAGAAAGTATTAAGGTAACAAGCTTTGCTAAGAATAGCAAAACCACAATCCAGTACTTTCTTGGCTGATTAATTAATACAGCATGGCTAGTTTTAGGGCAAGGGAAAGAAGAGACATCGTTGTAAAGGGAGATGAGAACAATGTATAAGATGGTGTTAACAGACGCTATATTTATTGCCTTGGAGCTTGAATGCACATACTCCAAGGGTGGTGTGAAGGTGAAAAAAACCCAACACTCTGTTAGTGTCATATCTTCCCTTCTTCCTGGCCAAACCAGAGTCTAGAGATGTCAACAGATATCCCCCTTCCTTCCTCAGAGCACTGGCACAAAACCAAGGTCTTCCGTAGCTGAGATCAGTAGAACCTTGTGTGGATACAAAATGTATATCTGCATCTATATCCGCTAAGAGTGTAAAATCCTGTTTAATTAGTTAACTGGTTAAACTTTATGTTGACGTCTGCAGATGTGGATACCTGCGGATATAAAGTGGATATCATATTTGCAGG